ATGTTGGTTTGGAAGCAGCGGCCACTACAACACAAGGATCTTCACTGTGTGACGGAAGGTACGCTGCGGCAGCCATTTTGTGGCTGGGTCTTCCTTCTGTGTGGCAGCCATTTTGTGACTGTGCCCACCAAACTGTGTCAGAATTCCAAAGGAGCCCTTGTTCTTGAAAAGTTAGGGGGCACCAGCCCCAAAGAAAGTGAAGGACTTTCTGGTGGCATCTCTGAGCTGGAATGTAGAAGCTAAAATGAAATATTCCTCTCATTTAAACCTAACAATAAGAACTTCAGAAGAGCCCTGCTGGATCAGACCAGTGGTCCATCTAGTCCAGCATCCTGTCTCACACCAAAAGGGCATGGAGGCCGAGGCCTTCATAAGAACATCAGAAGAGCCCTGCTGGATCAGACCAGTGGTCCACCTAGTCCAGCATCCCGTCTCACACAGGGGCAGCCAGTTCCTTAGGAGGGCCAACAAAAGGGCATGGAGGCCGAGGCCTTCATAAGAACATCAGAAGAGCCCTGCTGGATCAGACCAGTGGTCCACCTAGTCCAGCATCCCGTCTCACACAGGGGCCAGCCAGTTCCTTAGGAGGGCCAACAAAAGGGCATGGAGGCCGAGGCCTTCATAAGAACATCAGAAGAGCCCTGCTGGATCAGACCAGTGGTCCACCTAGTCCAGCATCCCGTCTCACACAGGGGCCAGCCAGTTCCTTAGGAGGGCCAACAAAAGGGCATGGAGGCCGAGGCCTTCATAAGAACATCAGAAGAGCCCTGCTGGATCAGACCAGTGGTCCACCTAGTCCAGCATCCCGTCTCACACAGGGGCAGCCAGTTCCTTAGGATGGCCAACAAAAGAGCATGGAGGCGAGGCCTTCATAAGAACATCAGAAGAGCCCTGCTGGATCAGACCAGTGGTCCACCTAGTCCAGCATCCCGTCTCACACAGGGGCCAGCCAGTTCCTTAGGAGGGCCAACAAAAGGGCATGGAGGCCGAGGCCTTCATAAGAACATCAGAAGAGCCCTGCTGGATCAGACCAGTGGTCCACCTAGTCCAGCATCCCGTCTCACACAGGGGCCAGCCAGTTCCTTAGGAGGGCCAACAAAAGGGCATGGAGGCCGAGGCCTTCATAAGAACATCAGAAGAGCCCTGCTGGATCAGACCAGGGGTCCATCTAGTCCAGCATCCTGTCTCACACAGAGGCCAACCAGTTCCTCTGGAGGGCCAGCAACAGAGCACAGAGGCTGCGGCCTTCATAAGAACATCAGAAGAGCCCTGTTTCCGTTTCCCCAATTGTTAGCACTAGCCCTACCTTGCAGGGTTGTTGTAAGGATTGCAACAAGATTATACACTCTGAGCCTGTCTGAGCCTTCCAAAAGGGCTAAGTGTAGTTGTTAGGTTTGCCTGTCTGGTGAACCTGTTGGCGTTCTGAGCCAAAGGCAGGTTCGACCACGGACCGAGGCACTTACATCCCTTCCCTCCTTCCTAGGACCACGATGTCCCAGAAGACAAAATCTTCCTCCTCTCCCTCCTGATGGCCGAGATGGGCGTCCACTCTGTGGCTTACGCTTTCCCTCAGGTGAAGATCATCACGACGGCTGTAGACAAGAAAGTGAACGACCTCTTCCGCATCATCCCCGGCATCGGTAAGTAGCAGGGCTTTGGAGAACCTGCCTGGCTAAGACTGGGGCATTCTGAGTTGAACACACATGAACATGTGAAGCTGCCTTCTACTGAATCAGACCCTTGGCCCATCAAGGTCAGTCTTGTCTATTCTGACTGGCAGCCGCTCTCCAGATTAGAGGTCCTTCCCATCACCTCCTGCCAGGTCCTTCTAACTGGAGATATCGGGGATTGAACCTGGGACCTTTAGCATGCCAAGCAGAAGCTCTTCCACTGAGATAGGGTCTAAGGGGAAGGTCTTTTAAATAATCTACTTCCTAGTCCTTTCAACTGGAGATGCCTGGCTGTGATATCTGGAGACAGGGGTCATTCCCTGCAGGAGCGCACAGGAGTGGTGCTCCGGCAGCAAAGAGCCCAGGGGGCGGGCACATGCAACAAGCCCCACCCCCTGCTCCCAGCAGCCCTCAGTCAGAGCAAGAAGCAGCCAGGTAAGCTGCAGAGCTCCCCCCCCCGGCCCCCCGG